GATTGGATTGGATTGGATCCGTCCAAACCTATAACATATGTATATATGGATGAAAATTTACAATACAAATTCACTCTAATTCACCTCGCAACCACTCGATCATAATCTTCATATCTATGACTACACACCAGGGCATGCATGCCTTCCTTTTGTGGTATTCAGATTTCTCACTTTCTCCCATCTCTCTAAAGAAAAAAAAATGATTTTGTTTGGTGAAATGATACATTGCTTGTAGAATTTAACATAGCCTGACCAAATATAGCTTACATTACTACATAGGATTTCTCTCATGTGACGTATTATGCAATATAGTATGAATAGTGAAAGTAGTTGAGGGTAATAATAAGAATAAATGGCATACGATGATATAGAATACCATATATGAGCATTACATCCTTGAACGGTTCTCTCTTCTTATAACATAATCATTATATCTGTGAAGAGGAAGGGTTTTCGTTTACTTCATTTCACTGTTTTTCTATTTTTATTTTTTTCATTTCTCTATTTCTCCAGTTTCCTAATTTTCATTCCCTATTCCTCCCATTTTTCATTTCTCTAATTTTCTGATTTCATTAAATACAATCATCTCATATAGTATTTGTACATACATTTCTACAACAAAAATTGGTAACGTGGCGGTTACCAATTTTAAAAATAAATTTTAAAATTATTATTATTGTTGTTGTTGTTGTTGTTGTTGTTGTTGTAATTATTATATTAGGAATAAGGCTCAAATTAGCAATCGAACGTAACGCGAAAATGCAATTGGGCCGCTCAACTAAAAAAAAGTGCAATTAAATCATTCAGCGTTGTAAAACCATGCAATTTGTCCCAAGTGACCTGCAATGGCAGGTTACCAACAGGTAATTAATTTTTTTTTAAAAAAAAAGTTTCGGATCATGGAGAGAGAGAGGTCACCTCCTTCAACTCACCATTTCTCCTCCAAACCTTCAGCTAGCTTTGTTCATCCCCTTCTCCTTCAAATCCCAGCCAAAGTTGCATCTCTCTCGCCTCTCTCATCCCTTTTTGTCTCTCGACCAGCAACAAGGAGATTTCGGCGGCAGTGGATGGCGACCCTACTTCCTCGGCGAGCATCAGCAACTATGGCACAAGGGAGCAGATCTAGCGACATCCAGTTTCTCCTTCCGGCGATGGACGACGGTGGTAACGGAGATATAGGCGGCGTTTGTGAGCTTTATTGGTGGCGCCTTCTTATCCTCTGGTGTGCAGCGGCATCGTTTCAGCGAGGTGGGGTCTTCACTGTAATGGTTCCGGTGGCGATAGCAGCGAGCTGCTCTCCCTCATCCCTCGGCAACCCCTGTTTCCGGCGAGACAGAGTAGGTGGCGATGGATGGTGAATTTTTCCAGCAAAGAGAGGTAGTGCGCAGTAGCGGCAGTCCGACGGTGGCTGATTTCAGTGAGACGACGCCATTCCTCTCTTCTGCCTCTGTTTTTTTTTTTCCTTTTGTTTTAAAATAATTTTTAATTTCCTTTTAAAATTTTTAATTAATTACTTGTTGGTAACCTGCTAATGTAGGTCACTTGGGACAATTTGCATGGTTTTACAACGTTGAATGGTTTGATTGCACTTTTTTTAAGTTGAGTGGCCAAATTGCATTTTCGCGTTACGTTCAATGGCTAATTTGAGTCTTATTCCTTATTATTATTTTTGAAAACCTACTAAACTTTATTAAAACTCAAAGCAAAGAGGAAATAAAGAGAGGTGGAAGAAGACTCACACATCTGTACCAGATTAATAATTCATAGCTTATGTCTGAATTACTTGATTTGCTGACCTAACAATAAAAGCGAAATTACCAATCACACTAACCATTAGACAATCTTCCACACAGCTGTATACAAATAATATACATTTAGTACACAATTAAAAATTTACATTATATTCAGAAAAAGTACATTATTTGAGTACTGAAAGTATATTATTTTGTATAATGTACATTCCGTACATGAATAATATATATATATATATATATATATATATATATATATATATATACATATATGGGTGTTGCTATTTGCACCCCCCTTTGATCAAAATGGGGTAAAAAGTATATTGAAAATATAAAAAGTTAAAAACTTATAATAAATACATAGGTGGTGTAAATAGCCTAATGAGTGGTCAAAATGCTATTTGCACCACCTTAATTAAATCACATTTATTAAGTTTAAATAATAATTAATTAATTCAAAATTTTTTAAAAAAATCCGTCCTTCTCCAGTGCCTTCTCACCGGAGAAGGCAACTGGGCTGCCTTCTCCGGTGAGAAGGCAGCCCAGTGGGTTGCCTTCTCACTGGAGAAGGCAACCCACTGGGCTGCTTTCTCACCGGAGAAGGCTACATGGGTCGTCTTCTCCGGTGAGAAGGCCGGATTTTTTTTTTTTTTTAAACAACCCACTGGGGTGCTTTCTTACTGGAGACGGTACGGGAGGTTTGGTTTTTTTTTTTTTTTTTTTTTTTTTTAACAACCCATTGGGTTGCCTTTTTACCGGAGAAGGCAACCCACTGGGGCGCCTTCTCACCGGAGAAGGTGACGGGATGTTGATTTTTTTTTTTTTTTTTTTAATAATTCTTTTTTGTTTTTAATATTTTTAATTTAAAAAAATGAAAAATAAATAATAATCTTTGACCATTTTTAATGCTAATGGTGTAAATAGCAAATTAGCATTTACACCACCTATAAAGCTATTTGGCCTACTAAATAGGTGGTTCAAATAGCAAAATAGGTGGTGTAAATAGAATTTCCCATATATATATATATATATATATATATATATATATATATATATAAACTAATAATGTACTTTTAGTATATTAAAAATGTATTTTTTTTATTATAGTTAACACAGCATTGTGTGAATCATGGTTCACGCAATAATTTGCCTCAAAAAACTACTGAATGCATCAGATAAATCCGGAGCAGCTCCACTGTACGGACATTCTTGCAAAAATTTAGACCATCTATTTCCAACTTCCAAGATAACAGTATTATGGTTCAACTCCTTCAACCAGGATTACATCATTATTATTATTATTATTATTATTATTATTATTATTATTATTATTATTATTATTATTCAATAATAGACCAACACTATTTAAAAAAAAAAATATTAATCAATACTTAACCTTCCAAATATTTTAAAACATTATATGTAAGAGCAGTAAGCTAAGGGCCCCAAATTTGTATATAGTATATAATTATTCAAATTTGACTCGTAGTTCATAGAATGAAGCTAAATTATCAAACCTAATCTACGCTTTATTTGATTTGCTCCTCTAGACAAGCATGCATGTTCACAGGAAGTAAATAAATCAAGTAATATGTATATTATATATTATAAGTTGAATGAATGACTACCCCGATAACTAAATGTTGTTAATGCATGAGCATATAATATATAAATATAAATATGTAATATAACTATTAGTTTAGCATTTTAGTTGAAATAAAACGTATTTTTTAATTTGATATCAAAGGTAAAGAAAGAGACCCGCGAGTTATGTATATATAAGGTAATTCTTAAAGTTTTGTTATGTATTTAAAAGGGAATATTAATGCATTATAAAAAAGGAATATATAATGCCTATGCATGGTTTCGAAGACCGATCATTTGAACTGCAAAACAAATAAAAGAAAGAAGATCAATTTTGGCATTGAAAAAGCTTAATTCAATATGATAAAATTGATCTTTATTTACGCATTAAAAATGATGATGCAGGGGATTGAACCCCGTGCCTCTCGCATGCAAAGCAAGCACTCTACCATTTGAGCTATATCCCCATTCAATTTTAGTCTTTATTTTTATTTATAAATTGTAAGAGTCGGGCACAGCAATATTTTATATTTCTGTTGGTTGATTGGTTTATGATTCATTAATTGCTGGCTTATTTAAAAGTAATAAATCATATTAAATTTAAATCATAACTCCTAAAACTCGTAGTTTAAAATTTTCGAATTATTGAATAAAATATGTCAAATACCAATTAAAATTAGTCTAATGGCTCAATTCATTTGACTCACGGTCGTCCAACTTGTATTAAGAAAGTCAAAAGCAATCAACTTATATTCATCTATATTTGAAGGATAGGTAAAACATCAAATCTATAGAGAAAATATGGTGAATTACCATGGTAGTGTATGACAATATGACATTTAAAAAATTATTATTATTATTGTGAAAAAGTATTTTAGAAATATATATAACTTAAAATTTATTTTTAAATATTACATTATAATTATATTTAGTTATCACTATATATGGTTTTAGTCTTGGATCATAACTTGGGTGGTTGAATAGGTAGAGCTAGCTAAGTATGATATATTATCATATATAAGAAGGTTACGAGTTTAATTATTGCCAACAGCTTATCAATTGAGCTTCCTAGTATAGTTTACCTTTCATGTATTGTTTACGAACTATTACATAAAAATAATATTTATTTAGTGTACACCTTTAATGGTCTGTTTGGTACACATGAACTGTAATTATTTTTCACATTGTTTTTTAGCAAACAAAATTCTAGTGTTTGGTTGGATAGGATTGAAATTGAAATTCCTGACCCCCTAAGGAATTGAATTCCATGGAAGATGGAAAGAAAAAAAAAAACATTGTGTGGACAAATTTGGCCTTGTTCTTTCTTCCTTTTTATTATTACACAATGACATTTTAAATTTTTTATTACTTCTTCCATTTCAATTGTCAGTACTTCATTCCCACTTTATTATTTTTCCAAGAAATTATAATTCATTTCCTACTTTCTCAACCTACTGAATAATGAAACACAATGAGTCAATACCGCCCTCATTGAAGAGCCACTTCCTGTCACTATACAACCATACTATTCACAAACTCATTTAAACTAAAGGGTAGTAAAAGACACCACCTTAAACTGAAGGGATTGGGATGTAAAATGTATAGAACATATAGGATCTTGGTGCAAATATCTATTTTTGTCTTATCCATTGTTGACTGCGACTAGTTACAATTTGACATTAGCATTCCCCGAAAGTTCAACGCTTGCGTTTAACGTACGAAGTGAAGTTTGGTCTGATACCCTGCTCGAACGATATCGGAAAAATGTCGTGGTTCAGATCGGCGGTGAACAAAGCGGTGGAAGTTGGGAACAAAAACAACCTCACTCGCACCGTCAAAAACTACGCCGACAGCGTCGTCCAACAGGCCGGCCACGCCGTCGTTGAGGGTGCCAAAATCCTCCAGGATCGCATTGTAATGTTCTCTACTCTCCTTTCTTTTTATCACCGGCAGCAGTTCTTCTGGAATTATTACTATTATTGTTAATTTTAGGACCGGATAAAGTATGTGCATTCATTTGACTTGGATTTCTGGATTAGTGTTAGTATGAAATGTTTACAGTGATTTTCAAACGATGATTTAGGGTTGCTGCAGCTTTGCTAATACGAGTTTCACTGTCAATTTTAGCGCGAGATCGTATATTGCTTTTAAATTTATTATGTAATTATGTAATTTTTATATGAATTGATCATTTAGTATATTTTTAGCTTATTAGATGCTCTCTATAGAGCTTTCCATTTAGTATATTTTTGCATTTACATGTGAAGTATATCTAATTTTTAAACAGGAATTGGGGTCACTTGTAGCTGTCTGTGTTAGCATCCCCATTTGATTAGTTAATTAGTTGAATAGTATGATGCAGTGATGGTGGTGTACCTTGCCACGGGTGTCTTTTCAGTATAAGAAAGATATTATGGAGTACCTCTAAGTTCTCAACAGTCACCACCATCCTGGATATTATTTAATCTTTACACTTTGATGAATGTAAAACACAACCTAATTTTGTCTCAACGAGACATTTAGGGTGTGTTTGGTTCGCACATGAGAATCGGAATCAGAATGAGAATCAAATACTTGGTAATGATAATGGGTTTTGGTGAAAGTATTTTGCATGTTTGATAGTAGGGTGGAATTGGAATAATTACCAATATTGATGTTTGTTTATGTATGACCATATAATGGGAATAAAAGTTTTAAAAATACAAAAACATAAAATCAAGGCAATTGATCTTGATATAATAACATCCAAAACACCAATATGAACAAACAAATCAAAACAAAAATTTAAAAGCACTATTCCAAACTTAAAAATCAAATTACCAATATAAGATGGAATATACCCCCTTTTAATTAGGGAGTGAGATTCTTAATTGAAGGGGTAATCAGATCCCATAGTTGTGTTTTAAAATGTTGTCAACCAAACAATAACTATGATTTTGATTCCTATTCTTAGTGTGCAAACCCATGAACCAAACACACCCTTATTATATTCTGAGTAGAAATATTAAAATGAACCGGAGCAGTGTTCTGTGTATCTCTTGCGTGTGTAATTGGGATTAAGCCTTAGGTTAGTTTCATTATATATCATTGTTCTAGTTCATTTTCTTACTTCTATCCTCCACTTCTCACTTGATACATTTTCATGTCAGGCAAATAGAAACTTCAAAAGCTTTAAACAGACTGTTAGAAGATTGGAAGAAGCTTCTGTTTCCTGTAGGGGACCAGAAAGAATTCAGTTAATGAAGAGATGGTTGGCAGTACTCAAAGAGATTGAAAAGTTATCTGAAAATCCCATTGAAGATAAGGAGAAAAATAATGAAGAGCATCATCCATCTGAAGAGCCAAAAAGTCCAAGAAGTCCACGAAAACAATCTATGGTGAGTAGAATAATTTTGATGCCGTTTTTCACCTCTTAGGGAGAAAACTTTTAATATTTTTGACTAGTTTTCTGGTTATATTACTATGCAACACTGAATAAAAACCACACAATTATTTTCCCTCGTAATTGCCTATTTCATTTGACCTTGAATTCATTTGACTGACATGGTAAATAAACTGAATATTTAAAATGTAAAGTAACAGACTTATTCTATGGAGGAAATTGTGCATGTTTTGCTGGATATTTTTAATTGCATATCCTTCCTTACTATTGGTAGCCATGTTTTACTCTTGATCGTCTTTACCATTATGCTTATTAATCATATTTCCAAACTAGAGTTCTTGTTCTAATGCCTTCTACTATTGATAGGTTTTATATTATGACTCCGAGATGGGTGGTGCACCAATGAATTTTCGTGATGTTTTCCTTTACAGTCAAGCTTTGGAGGGCATATCAATATGTATGGTATGTGTTATCTGTTTAGAGTTGCCCAAAATATTGTAATTAGTTTTATTTGTTTTCAATATCATCTGCCTTTGATGCGTGTAATCATTTGTTATTAACTATAATTGTTGAGCAATGAGCACCAAGGTTAACTAACGTCTACCGGTTAACGCTTTGTGTGGTTCAGATTCTTGAAGCACCAAATGAAGAGGAAGTTTCTCTCCTTCTTGAATTGTTTGGGTAAGTTTACTTATTCAGAGTCCAACTTTGTTTCTTGAACTTATAATGAACTCTGTTTTATACTCTGTAACATGTTTTGATTGTTTGAAATATATATTTGACAACTAAAAGTGTTATACTAAACTGGTCAAATTGATAGTTGAAGACTAAAAATGGAATTGTTACTATAATAGAGGGACAAAAGGTGGTATTAACTTAGAGATAACCCTTAATAACATGTCTTTATTGTGCAGTCTTTGCCTTACTGGAGGAAAAGAAGTTCACAATGCAATAGTCAGCAGTATACAGGATCTTTCAAAAGCATTTACAGGATACAATGATGAAGTACTGGTAAAGGCCAAAACATTAATTATCATTGAGTAACTTTTCGGATCAGTTGTCATTTGGCAGAACTTGTAATATTTCAAATGTATCAATATAGTAAAATAGTGACTAGCATGTATTTTTGGTGATGTTCTGCAGCATGTGCTATAGAAGTGTTTTAGTAACTAGTTACTTTGTATTTTGGTATATGTTAAGTTACTAGTTTTAAGATTGTTTCACCAAAAGGTTATGTTAATGAATTCTGAAGTATTTTTTATCTAGATTTGGCATTTTCAAACCTTACTTACAGTTTCCTCATCATTTGCTTGGAATGCCTAATCTTTAGATGTTTTGCTACTTTAACTTAATGTTATTCAACATTAATTGTAGTTATGGCTTGTAGCTATTTAAACCTCCTTTTCATGTCAGGCAAAGAGAGAGGAACTCCTCCAGTTTGCTGAAGGAGCTATCACAGGGTTGAAAATTAATGCGGATCTTGGAAGGTATTAGGAGAATCTTTAATTTCCTTGAATTTTTTGCATACACAAATCTATATTAGATGCTAAATCTCACTCTTTTTGTTCTTTTTTTTTTCCCTGAATTATATTCCTTGGTCCTAAGCCATGCACTAATGCAGAATTGATGCTGAGGTCTCCATGCTGAAGAAGAGACTGGATGAGATAAGAGAAAAGAAAGAATCTTTTGGTGAAGTTCATGAAACAATTTCCAAAGAGACTGCCCCCACCATAGAGGTGAACCTGGTTCTCTTAAACAGTATTTCCTTTATTTTTATTTATTTTTGTTTGTTCATAATTGAGACTCAACAGATTCATAGACACTGGCCATAGATATTGGTAATTTTGGATCATTTCAATATTGATTATATTATTGTCTTTAGTAAGCCAGAAATATTCTTACAACATTTTTGTGACTGTGCACTGCATGTTTTTATCTTTTTGATTAGAGACTTTTGACATTAATATTTAATTTGTTTCCTTTCCAACAGGCTTTGAAGGAAGCACTTGCACTTATCCGAGTCTGTTCAAGATTAGAAGCACTTCTACTGAAGAAGAAAACTCTTAAATTTGGAGATTCCCCTGAAATTCATGCTCAAAAGGTATATTACCCTTTTGTGCTGTTATGGTTAATTTTACTTTTGTAATTGAAATAATGTAGTAGTGCCAAGTGGCAACATGCTTCTTGATTAGTATGTTGTATGGTCTCTTTGCGCCAATTGAAAATTCATTTGCCAAGTTACAATAACCTTTGTGGTTTCATTTCACTACAAACTTATTTTCTCAAAAAATTTTGGAAGTTTATTAAAGTTTTTCTTATCTTATTGGCTCTTCTACCTCTCTCCCTAATCTCTATTATAAATATAGTTTTTCTCTCTTTTGTAATATTGCAACTTGAAAAATATAGTGGAACTCATTGGCGATGTTTTTATAACTGCTCTAGGGTTTCCACATGAAAGTTCTTGTTCTCTATGTTTATATTTCAATGTCTTCCTTTCCAAACACTAAGAATGCAAGGATCTACTGGTTTGAGATTAAAGCATTGTTGAGTAGTTATATCATGGTGTCATCATTTTATTTTATTTTTGGCTCTGTCCCTTTTATTTTATTTTATTTTATAAATCTGTTCTCACATAGCTCATCACATATTTTGTCGAAAACTTGTTGCATTATTTAGAAAGCAATATGCATCACAGATTAAGCAACTTTTTGTTATTTGCAGGTTGACAAGTTGAAAGTCTTATCTGAATCTCTTGTCAGCTCCAGCTCAAAATCTGAGAAGAAGATCTCTGACCACAGGTATCTATTTATGCAATGGTTTTAGTTCCAAGGGATGTGAGTGACAATTTATGTTCTTTTATTTGTCACATTCTTTAGTGTTTCCTTGTGAACTTCTTTGTCCTATTATCTTCATCCTTGGTCCTTCTTTTATGATGCCTCATTGTGTCATTGTGATATGGTACCTCCTTTGCCTTTTACAAGTAATACCTGAGTATAAATGCATAATTAAATTTTCTTGAACCAGCTTGTCCAAAGTGAAGAGTATCAAGTATCATTTTCCTTTTTTCATATATTTGTTTTAAAAATTCAATATGATTTCTTGTCATTTAATCCATTATTTCATTAGTAATGTCTCGTATATTAGTCACTGAACGTGATTTTTGCTTTCTGAACAGGTATGTACACTAGTGTCCTATGGTTTCTTGATTACTAATAACGGAGTCTCATATGTTAATCACGTGTTATCTGCTGGTTCTTTTTTTTTTTTTTTTTTCTTCTCTTCCTCTCTCATCCATTGAAAGCACAATTTTTGTTCTGGATTTCATTTTCCATGTATACACTTTGCAGAGTTCAGAAAGAGGAAGCATTAAGATTTCGTGTTTCCAAGTCTGGTGAAGTCAGTGAATTAGAGAAGGTATTTCAAGCAAGAAAAACCATTGGTTATTAGAGTAGTGAGATGAAATCTTCATAAACTTTCTTTCTATTTATTGCTGTTTTTGTACTTTCTGTCTGTTGAAGTACAGTCCATAAATGAATGAGTGAAGAGCTATACTGGTGCACTCCTGGACCTTTATTGTGTTCTTTGGTTCTGTTAACTGTTGTTTCCTTTATGTATTCTTCAGGAAATAACAGCTGAGATTACTGCACTGGAGAAGCAGAGAGATGAACTTGAAGCACAATTGAAACAGGTCTTTGTTTTGATAGAATCCTACTATTTTCGTTTTTCTTTTTAGATTCTTTGATGGAAATGTTTGTTTTTAGTTATTGACTATTGTCTGCTCTTTTTCACATTGATTGATAACCAACTGTCTTTCTTAGTGTCCCCCCACTCTGAAATTGGATGTGATAGGGACCCACTATCGCCTCGAACAGTTGAACTCTGTTATACAATTTTGGAGTCTTAAGAGTTGCAGAAGAAAAATAATTTAACTTTCAGAAGAGGACTTAGCATTTATATAGCTGGAAGAAATTGTTGAGATCAAAAGATTATGTTTTCTTGCTTTTCAAGTGAACTTGTGTTTCATACTTTCATTTGCACATTCATTTTTATTCAAGCATAGCATTTCACAGTTTGGATCAAACTTTCAGGTGAATATCTCCTTGGTTGCAGCTAATGGACGCCTTCAAAATGTTAGAGAGGAGAGGGACCAGTTCTATGATGCTAATGATCAGATTGTTGCCCATTTGAAAACTAAGGTTTTACTATTTGTTTGTAACATGTTTATTTTCGTGCATTTGATTCGCCATTGGTTTTCCTAGACTTCATGTTCCAAGCTATTGATATTTCATCTATATAAAGACGTCATTTTCATTCTTTTGATGTTGCTTCAACTTTTGCAGGAAGATGAACTATCAAAGTCCATAAGCTCATGTAGAGTGGAAGCAGATATTCTTACTGCATGGACCAATTTTTTGGAAGATACTTGGGCTCTTCAGTGCGCTTATATGGAGACTAAAGACAAATTGGCCAAGTACGTAACTCGGCTTACCTAAATGATCTCTTTGACTTTGGATATAATGTGATCACTATGTGTCGTTTAAGTATCCCTGATAGAAATATATGCAATTTGCTTCATTGCTAATTGTTACTTTGCATTTTCAAGTGATGAACTGGAAAGGCATGAAGATTATTTTGTGAACTTGATCATTGAACTCCTCTCTGCTTATGAGGTATGTAATTGGTTTTGCATGATAGCCTTCTGGCCAAGCACAGACCAAGTGTGTGACTAACTTCATGTTTTCTTGTACAGAGAGAACTGAAGCCTTCTATTGATCGTATAGGGAAATATGTGGAGAACTTGAGGAGTTTTGACAAAAGGTAATGTCTGTTTGTATTAATTTATACATATCTTATTCTTTTCATATTTATAGAACTCTTAAAGTTGTACAAACAGGTCAGTGGTGGCATCTGGTGCGGATCATGATGATTCCAAGGTGTTGACCCCACGAAAAAATCTTGAGGAGGAATACCTGGATTATGAAGCCAAGGTAAGATCATAACTTGTAATTTTGCATCTGATTTTATTTAAATTTTCAGACATGCTTTTGGAATCTTGACAACTTGGAAAGGTTGCCTTAAGCTGTCACTCTAGTACCAGGATATATAGTTTTTTCTTTTAGGATTATTTGTTTGTTGGTCTCAATTTAGTTCCCTTGCTAAACCCTGTATTTTCTTTGTTCTAGACTTCTTAGCTAGGTGTTTCATAGCTCAAACCTTTCTGTGGCCACTATGGCAATCACCACATACTGAATTCCTGATGAAATGTCTGTTTTAACTGCAGATTATAACCACCTTCAGCGTGGTGGATAACATGAGGGAGCAGTACTATGCTCACCAAGGGAAAATCTCCAGGTTTCCTTGTGCATTGCCCTTCTACGTTTTTTTTTTTTTTTTTTTTTTTGTTTGTTTGTTTTTGTTTTGTTAACTATTCTCTTTACGAGTTAAACTAGTTGTTGCCTTCCATGCAGGAAAAATGATTCAAAAGTTCAGGAACTTTTCGACAGTATTGAAAAGTTGAGAGCAGAATTTGAATCAATTGAGAGACCAATTCTTGAAATGGAGACTCCAGGCCAAGAAGCAGAGACTTCACATGGTGAAAGGCCACAAGAAAATGTGATAACTCCTGCAGGGGAGGTGAAAGAGATTCCTGAAGCCAGGGAAAAGGAGCAAAATGAACCTTCTGCAACTAATGTTCAGAAGAAAGAACCATCAGCTGCCAAACCAGAGGAGTCTCTAGACCCCAACACAGAATTTGCCAAATTGGAGTCTGAATTTGGCACAGTCAATGTGGATAACTCGGCAGAAGAGGTTGGTGACTGGGAATTTGATGAGCTGGAAAAGGAGTTGAGAATCGAGGACTCTGCAACCCACAAGTAGAATTGTCACACGCTATTTAAAAAACTTTTGTATCCAAACTCTAAAAACAATGAGCAGTTGTATACTTGTGTGTATGCTTGGGAGAAATGATTCCTAGGCTCAAGGTTCAAACAATTAGGCCTGGGAATTGCTTCGTGTATTCTCTGAAATGCTGTACCGAGTATTCGCTTTCATGTAAATACTCAATTTGGTGTAACACTGTTTTGCGTAACAAACACACTCAAAAGAAATCTTTTTGTTTTTTCCCTCTATTGGGATCCAACAATGCATGTGGAAATGAGGCATTCCATTAACATTATATTTTCAGCTAGGCTGGTAGCACTATGGCATTCTTTTTTGGTTTAATTTCTTTTTTATTATACACAACTGATTGTGGTACAGATGGATTGTTTTTTTGCAAATTGATGTCACTTCTCTATGTGGATGCAGGCTTACATGATTGATCTGAGAAATTTTCTGACAGGACAGTTTATGCCAAGTTTTGTTTAAGTAATGAGAGAAGCATGATGGGATCTGAAAATGTTCCTTTCTGGAAGGAAGGTATGGAGAGCAGAAATCTTTGTCTACTAACATTGTTGGGATAAAATAGTTTCCTGAAATAGAAGTTGAAACTTGTCTTTTCTTTTGCAGGGCAACATCATTAGTCTGGCCCTCCCCATGTTTTCCCTACTAGGGATGCAAAACATAGTGGGAGTTGAAACTGAGCCACATGAAATCCTCAGAAAGCGGCTGGCTTGGAAAATGACCTGCCATTGCTTAAGGTATAGTCATCCAAACTTTGCTGAGCTATGGTGAAGTCATCTACTTTTTCTGGTGCCTGTGGGATGGCCGGCACAGGATGCCCGCCGGCCTTATGCAATGGTTTAAAGCTTCCTTTGCTGTGGCTGGCTTAGAACCAACAAAAGTAAAACTATAGTCCAGATTTTCTGGTTGTGGTGGCTGGTGGGTCACACCCCATTGTGGCTGTGTTTCCTTCTAATTAACCTTTAAAAAAAAAAAAAAATTGTAGTTTATACCAGTTATCAATGTCACTCCTAAATTATTAGTGGTGTAAATGTTGTCTCTCAAATTTCAAAACAGTACATATATGATATATATTGCCTTTCCCATAGTGTAAATGTTGCCCCTCAAATGCCTCAATTTTCCTCTCGACGGTACGAGAGGGGCAATATATGTACTGTTTTTAAAATTGAGGGGCAACATTTACACTAATAATAATTCATGAATGACATTGATAATTGACATATTATGAAGGGACATAAATTACATTTATTTTTTAAAAATCATTATTATTTTAGTAGAAACTACTATGGTGCCGGCCAGCCTTGTGCGGTAGTGTCTGCATATCATACATGATTGTATCGAGTATTATTGAAAACTGTTATTAATAGTATCCCGTACAATTATGTATGTATAATGATAATACGGACCGGGTTTTTCTTATTATTATTATTATTATTATTATTAATTATTGTTATTATGGGTGTGTAGGTGGAAGAATTATGAGACCCTAAGCATACCGCTTGAAACAGAAATGGCTAAACATGGAGTAAAAGGTTGGCATGTTTCCAATTAACGTCTGCACCTCACCCCCCCACCACGCTCAAAAGCCATGTTTGGCATTAATTTATTGACAATACATATTTACAAACAATTTATGTTAGTAAAAATAAACGTTAAAAACACACAATTACAATAAATGTTTGTTTTGAAACTCATTATTAAAAATGGAACCCACAGTTCTAGACCACAAGTGTCTTCTTACAAATTGGCATAGGCGCCGTAGCTATACTCTATTTGAGAGTTTTTCTGAAACGGTAAACTTTCAATAGCTACATAGTAATTTCAAATAAATAAATAAAGTAAACGAGAGGAAGAAACCCGTCAAAATAATGAGAGGAAAAACACAAAATTGGTGGCGAAGGAAGAGAATGAAGGCGGACGATGTCTGCGATTGAGATGGCGGCAAGGGAAGACGATCGGACGCCGCCTCCGTTTGCTTCACGGAGGCGGCAGCCATGTGGAAAATAGAGCAGTCAAAAACCAGAGAGAAGAGGGAAACCATAGGAAATCTTAGGTTTTTACCCTTCCTTTTTTACACTTTACGAATAAAAAGTTTTTATCGAGATTTTTATAACTTTTTAAATAAAAATGAACTAATTTTTCAATACATTAAATTTTTCCGTTTACATTAGATTAATTCTAAGCCCTCAAAATCGTTGTCCAAAAATCGCGTTAAAAAGTAAATCTCGAGTCATTCCATTAAGCCTTAGGTTCTTACCTCCTCCTTTTTACACTTTACACACAAGAAGTCTTTATCACCTCTGAATGGTCGATCTCTCCCAATAACCCCAAGTTTCCAAAAAATTGACTAATTTATTTACCCAATGACTTTCTTCATGCAAAATATATAACTTTGTTTGAAGAGTGTTTTACCGTCCCCTATAAGGATTCTAACTCAGGTTGCTTCATCATATCGCCAGTCTTTTGAGATGGGAGGGGGCAGTTTAAACTTTATAAAAACTGACAAAAGTCTCGAGCTCTGCAAGGGGAGCATAATCCTCTTCTTCTCCATCCTTTCTTCCACTCTCCACCATCAATTGTCGGATCCTATGTTGTCTTGTTCACAGATTAGCTTTCTTTTTTATATTTTCTTTTCACCTTTTATTTGTCTCTTCTTTCACTCACATTAAAAAAAAAGAAATGACTTTAGTAGCTGTTAGATGGTCTTTTTTACTAAGATACATTCATAAAGGTGCACACGAAGTGATCAATATTGTAAAGAGACAATAGGCCATAGAAAAGTTCACTTTTTACTATATGTTCAAGAAGAAAAATCAGTAGTCGCTACTTGAAGGTGCGCAATGAGTAAACTATGTTTTTGTATAATAGTATGCAAATCACACAAAAGAGATAAATTGCAAAATGTACTTTCTCTTTTTTTTTTTTTTAGAGGGGGGGGGCGGGGGAGGAGAGTATCAAGGGTGTGCATCGGATAAATCTCGCTTTGTGTCTCAATCAATAAAAATCACAAGAGGTAAACCATCTTAAGTTGTTCATAGTTGACTAGTTCAAACCAAGAAGGTTAATATGCCGCTTCGAAGACACTTTTACTTTTTACTCCATGTTAACATGACATATTTGATTTATATAAGGAAACATAAAAAAAGAGTCATAATTTTTAGGAAAATACTGCTCCTAAATTCTACTTCTAACTTTTACTCAATCTCACAAAATTTTGATATTGACATTTTCATTAGGACCCACAGAATGAAGATAACTAATCATCAATTGCCACATAAGGGAGTAAAATTGATAGAGTAGTAGTAGGAAATACATGTAGTAGAACTCTAATTTTTATTATTTTTTCTTCTAACAAAATCAAAACATGTGAGAATTTTATTATATTAAAATAAATTTATAATATTCTTCCTTAAAAAAATAAATAAATAAATAATTAGACAAGTTAGCCCCTGGAATCCAGTAAAAGTAGGAAGCTTATTAACGTGGTTCTTGAGCTCCAACTATTTCTATATTAAAAGTTTGTCTTCTCTATAGTAAATAAATATGGAGCACTAAAACTAAATTAGTTGTCACACAAGCGGACACGCACACGCATAAACATAATTATTAATCCCAATACAAGAGAATGACATCTTAGGTTTGGATGTTCGAGATAGGGATCTTCTTTACATCGTTTTTATTTACAATTTTTTAGAAACCTTTTCAATATTTTACGGCATTATTTCGTTCAAATGCGACGCTGCTCTCTTATGCGGTCGTGTAAACTCATCTTGATCATTGAATTTGTTCAGATTATTGAATCAATGGAGATTGAAAAAAATGTAGTAACATTTTGATAATTTCATGCATCACGTATATTTCGATAGTGCACTAAGTGCGGGGGTGTGGTGTACTTGTGAGTGCTCTGTGGTGCACTTTAGAGTGAATTATGGTGAACCACAAAGTGCTGGTTTATGGTGCACTATTGGGAGAAAACGTGGTAGCATTTTGATAATTTCATGTACCATGTATATTTTGGTAGTGCACTAAGTGTTGAGGTATGTTGCACTTTTGAGTGAACTGTGGTGTACCACAAAGTGCTAGTCTGTGGTGCATTAATAAAAAATAAAAATAATAAAAAAAAAAAAAGCGCGATGACATTTTGATAATTTTTTGTACCATGTATATTTCGGTGGTACACTACGTGCTGGAGTGTGGTGCACCTATGAGTGTCCTGTGGTGCACTGGGAGTAGATGCATTACCAAGATATGTAAATGCACCAGGCTACACGACCATACGGGAACAATTGACTACATATGAACCAAGCCTTTTATATAAATAAATAAATAAATGAAGTTTGATTGCAACAAAAATAAATAAATGAAGTTTGATTGCCATTATTTTTCATCGCTTTTCATTTTAAGAGCACGTAATAATATTGTAAAGCAAAATAAAATCTTTTATCATTTTTATAGTATATAAGCTTAGTTTATCACAAAAAGAGTAATCAAAGTACTATCATATAGAAACTAATGGGTAGTTGATAAGTAGACTACTAATGTAATTATAAAGTCAGTATGTGTTATCAAACTTTGAGTCAAGTGTGTTATCAAACTTTGAGTCAAGTTGAATTTAGATAAGTTTTATAATGGTAGGATCATGGGAATATCACATGTCATCAATAGAGTTTAAAAAGAAAAATATAAAATAAATATCAATATTCAAGTAAAATAAAATAAAAATAAAAATCTTAGATTTTCTTAAGGTTTTAGATTCGAGTTTAAAGAATAGAAAAACATATGTTGTAGAGTTTGGTTTCTATAGACAATTATATGCATCTTTTTTAGCAATGTTTATGATATTGTAATACACTACGGAGGGGATATAAATATCAGAATATTAATCAAAATAATATGAACTATTCATTTTAACAAACAATTACATCAATAATATTTAGTTGACCTAACTTTATTCGTTCATATTAGATTCGTAGAAATCTTGATTAACATTATATATATATATATATATATATATATATATATATATATATATATATATATATATGGGGAGGATTCAGGTAAGAACACCTCCATTATATTGTAAAAAGTGCGGGCACATCCACACTCTCCATATTGAGAAATCAAATGTTATGATCTTAACATTACTAAACTTTCAAGTTTGTAATTATTATAAAATGAATCTCGCTCTTAAAAGTTTTTAATAATTGTAAAATTGATCCCAATTTTTTTTACTAAAACCCTCGACTATTGAAGAACAATAATGGACAACTGAGATCAATAATCACTTTTTACATGAGTGTCATGTTCTCATTTGATCTTACCCCTATATCAAACAAAGAATTTACTAAAACTTATTCCAATTATTATCAAGTATTTGAGTTCGATCCCAATTCCAATTCATATATTCCAACACTATAAAAACTTAATCCAGAATCAAAAGGGTTATTAGAAGCATTGAATCTACTACTGTTTTGATAGAGTAGGTACATGTTTAATTTAATTATTTGGCTACGCATCAATGCGACATGTGTTGGTTAAAATTGTTAACTACTTTAAACTTTGAATTCACTCAACCGTTGTGAACGTTTACTCAACTCGATCACATCTACTGATCTCCAACCACTTCCCATTTGAATTTTGAAATAGTTCTCTGTTGTTTATAAAATTAATTAAATTAAAGGGTAAGTAATATGTATGATTTTTTTAATTGTAGACAAATAGTTAACTTAGTATCTTAGTTACGGAGTATATCATTATAATCACCACTTACAACCTTTAGTCCTTGTATTGTCAATGTTATGACAAAATTAGTCTTCATAGTTATATAAACTGTAAAAACACACAGAGATAAAATGTTATAGTTATCAAGCTAACTGTTTGACCAACACGTATATATACAAGCCAATATGCGTACATATATACACGCATACATATGCGCGCTAACTCAAACTAATATATATGATTAAGAATTTGTTTAATTCAATTTGACAGATCAGATAGCATACATGTATATGTGAATTCCTTTTTTGAAGTATGATTTTTGAGATTGATTATCACTTAGGCCCCACAATGTGTACAGCTTGAATCTCAACAGTGTTTAGTGGGGAATCTCAACAACTTATTAGTTATTACACTGTTATTGAATAATAATTTGTGTAGCCACTCGTACACTCATTGAGTTTTCTTCTCCCTTTTTGAAAACCAGCCCCTACCCCAACCCCTAAACCCTAGCAATCAATAGATTAAAATGTGTCCAATGAAGCTCCGAAAAGGGTAACTGAGTGAATTAAACATAATTCTCTTACTAAAAAGTTAATGTTAAGATCAAGCGCTTACCAGTCCGTCAAAGCTATAGCTAGTATAAAAAACACAACTTTATTTCCTTATATCGTCACATTTTCGAGAGACAGTGTGCTAACCTTGACTCTTCAGGCTTCCGTCCAATAATTCCACTTAGCCACTTTGTGCTGGACTTGACCCTTCACGGGTCTCCGCCTAACAATTACGAGTTTGATTATTGTCGACGTCCTCTTAGTTGAGCACGTAGACAATGTTATGTTTATAAATACGCGTAAATGTAGTGAATTATATTTTGTACTGTATTAAATACCCTGTACAATCTACTACACCAACGTATTTGTATTAAGTACAACGCAGTACCTTAGGAGTTGTCTATTATTTATATATGATTATGTAAACATTATAAAAATTGGGCAAGTATATACATGTACATGATTGCAAGACATGGCATATGTGACCTAAAAAACATACTTCACCTTTATGCCCTGAATTTCATATTTGGAATAGTTTATAAAATAAACAAATTAAAAAAAAAAATTAAAAAACTTAGTGTTAATTAATACCTTTTGGTGACTCTGCATCCTCTTTAAAATGCTCCTATTCCATCCATATGCTTAGCAAACCTCAACCTGAAGTCCTGAATTGTCAAAACACAGTCAAAGAGAGAGAGAGAGAGATGGAAGAAGAAAGTCCCTATTCATGTGAGCATGCAGAAGAAGACTACATAGACATGGAAGTTTGTTCACATTCCACCATTTTCAGCCATTCCAAAAGCTCACAACCTGACCCCAGAGAATTCGAGTTCCAAATGTTCTCAACCTCTGTTGAAAAAGACACCACAACTTCCCCTGCAGATGAGCTCTTCTACAAAGGCAAACTCCTCCCCCTTCACCTCCCCCCACGCCTAGAAATGGTAGAGAAACTTCTTCAGAATCCCAGCACTTACAACATCAAGGCTGAAGTTGACGCCCAGTTTGATGCGTTTGAAGAGTCCTTTAGAACCCCATCATGCACACCTACCAATCATACCCCTACCACCAACACCCCATTTGAATCCTGCAACGTTTCCCCCGCGGAGTCTTGCCAAGTCAGCAGGGAACTCAATCCAGAAGAATACTTCTTTGGACATGTAGCAAATGACAACCCAAAACGGACATGGACAAGAAAGCTTAGGCTGATGAAGCAGTCCTCTTTGAGTTCAAAGTTGAAAGCCTCCCGGGCTTATCTAAAATCATTGTTTGTCAAATCTAGCTGCTCAAGTCAATCCTCGGCAGCTGCTTCAAGAATGATCAACAAAGGATTAGCTCCACAGGCCAATGAAGGTTGTAAAACCCATGCCAAAGTAGCTAAGAAGGAGCCACTTGGGCAGATTCAGAGAGGTGGATGCCAAACTTCATCTTCACTCGCAAAGAGCTTCAACAAAGAAAACCCCTCTGGGGATGAAGGAGGCCATCATAGAAGGTCATTTTCAGCGGCTTTTAAAAGGATATCAACAACAACAAAAATTTCATCCTCAGTGACATCATCCTCCGGCTGCTCATCAGCTTCAAGCTCAAACAATTCAAACGGATTTCAAGAGCTGCAATTTTTCAAGAGAAGCGCCAGTGCATATTCAGATATTGAGAATTCAATCCAGGCAGCAATCGCTCATTGTAAAAGATCTCAACAGCAGTTACACTCAACGAATACTGTAACTGACCTCGGGATATGCTCAATGTCTGCTTCTAAAGTTACCTGTGAGGAACAAGAAAGACCAGCACTGTGCCAGAGTTAAAAGTATTTTACTTTTGTTTACTTTAGGGTGGAATGATGGAAGAGATTGGACACGAACAATTTTGCTTGCCTTATGATGCGTTTTTTATATAACTTTAGTATAACAATTAACAAGCATCATGCAAAGAAGCAAACCCATATTTTTGCAGACTTTCTTGTACTTCCATCCACAAAAATTTGTGAAAACGCCACAATAAAGTATTCTATTTCATAGATGATGATTATTAGGAATGCAAAAAATGGAATTTTTGTATCACTTGATTATCAAAATCACAGCATTTTACCTCACGAAAACTCTTATGCTTAAACTATGAATACTGACTAATCTTTATATATTATAAATAGAGACACTTTCAACATAATATCTTTACTCTTCTTTTTCTTGCAGTAGAGGACTTTGAAGTGACTACCACTTTGAGGCATTAAAGCACAAAGTGACTTTTAAATTAATTATCCTTTGACTGCTGCATCACAGCCATCACTTAAAGAAGGCTTCAGCCTTAAGTTTGTTTAATAAACTCCAAGTTCCATTAATTTAATCCCGTAAATGATGAGCATACCTAAGAATAAGGTTCTACAGGAGTAGAGAGAGGAAAATGCCCATGTGGTCCTGCAATTTCAGAATTATGTCAATTCATTATTAAGTTTCGATTTATAGTTAATAGTGCCTAATTCTGCTCCTAATTTATTATAATTCTGGCTTACAGCATATCAACAATTATGTATACTGATCAGTGGGAACCAAAGTAGCATGTTTACTTTATTTATTTATTATTTTTTTGATTCAATATATGCTCATCTGTCATAATTAGACCAAGAATTGATGCAAACAACTGAAACTGAACATTTCATGTTCTGTCAGAAGAAATAAAATTATAAAGCATATCATTTCAATCAATCAGAAACAAATGATAACAAATAACCTGATTAGTAAAGTGAATTTCTTGGTCATGAGGCAATTATACTTTGATCAGACATCACCAGCACCTGAAATATTACTTAATTAGAAGTTTATTCAGTTTTAAGTCATAACATTACTTTTAATCAAAGATTATCACCAATAATCATAGAAAAATGATACAATCCCACTTGTCTGACTCATGAGAATAGCTGATAAAGTTAAGAACTGACTTTAAACACAATGATTTCAAGATAAATCATAAATTAAGGCAAATCTCCAAGTTCAGACAAACAGCTTTCAGGTAACTTTTAAAGTTTTTTTTTTCTCAGAAAATTTTAGTATTCCACATGGCAGCAAAGAAAAAGTTTCCTTTTCAAATAAACAGGAGAAAAAATTGGCTTTATTGAGCCCTCTTTTGATTTTGAAGTGGGCATTCCAAATCTTAAACTAAGTGCAAGTGTCAGCCAGATTTTTGACAAGATTAGTGGTAAATAACACTCCTAAAAAGATTATTCATGATGTTCAGCACTTGGGGGTACTGATAAGCATATAACAATAAACTGTTTTCCCCACCAATTTCCTGGGTTTCTACAGAATCAAAGATTCAAAGAGGGGAAAGAGCTAGCACATGTTTATAGTGACTTTCAATTACTCGTCTCTAAGCCTGTGGTTTAACAAAGTAGAGAAGAGAAATGCTTATCTACATTATGATGACCCTATGTTTTCTGGAAGGATTGCTTAGAAAAGCTAAATTAGGTGGATAAACTGTTTCAGGTATAAACTCATAGTAGCAGGTATCAACGATTTTGTGCATCTGTCATGAATGTTTTTCATTGATAGAATCATCTGCAAACGAACTCAAATAGTAATTTCACTAATTCTTGTAAGAAGACTAGAGAATTGAACCAGTTTCAGGATATATGTTAGAATGTATTGAGAACACAAAGACAGTCTTGAAGAGGATTTGATAGAACTTGGTCTGCCAGACCATTTGGTAGTCCATGCATACATTACTTATATGAATGGGCTAAACAAATTTTCATGCCACTAGTTTACAACAGGATCGTCGTTTTTTGTGCTAATATATACTGAAGTCTAAAAGCACTTATCATATCTTTCATGACTATATGTATGTATATAACCTATTTGGATTGGATATCAAGAGACAAGAGTCTCCTATGATATAAGCAAGGAGAATAGTTCAAGCAGAACAACAAAGAAATGGACTGTAGGAACAGGACACTCAAACCATATATATCATCAGTATCAGCTAGCAGAAGAGATACTCTTAACACAATGCAATCTATTTGAACTAGAACATCAAATTTCAGTACATCAGCTCGAAATGAAAGACTCAGTGTCCAACAAGTTGAAAATTCTATAGATAGAAATCTAATAAGATGTACGTGCTGAAATAATTTTGTAGCATTAAGCTGTGGAATCCAAGGGTTCTAGCTTCATCTAACTTGCATAAGTAAGATATTTGTTATGTAATCACTCGCATTTGCGAGTAATATACTGTTACAAGCTGGGGAAATTTGAATTACTGCAAGCATTAGTAAATTGTGTAGTGCCCAGAGCTGACTGCAGGGAGGAAAGTACACCAACAAGGAAACAAATAGAAGGCCATTCAAAATCCCGGGACAAAATCTTATTTGCATGAGCTTTCTCCACCTTCATTATACACAACATCAAAATAAAATGAAATACAAGCAGTGAGACTGTTATAATCTGTAGAATCAAGATAGGCAGTGAAAACATAATTAAACTCAACTATGTAAGAGGAAATTGTATATAGCAGTTAAGCGCAAGTACCTGTAATTGATGCAGGAGATAAAATCATAGGTGACTGTAGCCTGATTACAACCTGCCACCAATTATTCCACCTCTTTAGGCAATAATCCTCAGAGTAGTTAAATACAGACACTACATGTAAGTACCTTCGTTTTCTCATTTTTCCCAATATAGTCACACAACTTTTTACCCTTTTCCAACTCTTTTCCTGCCCACCAAAGCTGTATTGTAGGCTCTTGAATAAGCTCCAAATCTGAGAATACATTTTCATCCAGTAAGTGTTCAGCTGATCATATTTCATCATTGACAGCAAAATTTTAAGAGTTGTAACCTTATAATTTCAAATATTTTACTGATGTCATTCTCCCACTATAAATCACTTACTGCACCCTCATTCCTCCCGATAGGAGGATATACCTCATACAGAAAATTAAAGATACTGCTTCACTGTGTTATAAAACTGAACTAGCAGATCAAAGGGATATGAGCGTTTAGATAAAACTCTCCAGATCTATTTTGACAAGAACAAATTCAGACTAAGGCAGTGTCTAATTCCAAATACTCCACTTTCTGAAGAGAAGGAAAGTGGAGAGATTAATATTGATTTAATCTCATAGTAAATTTGCTCATTAGCTTTCTTGAGAACTTAGTTTTTTTGCTGATAAATGCTCTACAAACAATTTTTTAATGCACAGAGGGAAGTAAATTTTACACTAAATTCCAACAGAATTAAGATGGGAAACTTGGCCAATGGAAGTTGTTGGAAATAGGCAGTCATATTTACTCTACTCTAGGAAGTTGTAACTTTGAGAAGATGAGTAGTTTTTCAGCATTTATTATGCCCTTTCATATGCCTTTCTTTATGCCTATATATATGGTTGTAATCTGGAGAACTAGATAGATATACAATGAAATAAAGCATCATTTCTTCCTTTTCCCTCTACTGTTTCCACAGAAGTGATTATGAAAAAAAAATACCTGGAAATAAATTCTGTAAGCTGCCATTTGAAAATCCAATTAGAGAATATGCTTCGGCAAATGAATTCTCAACACTCCTTATGTGGTCTCTTAACACGTAAATAGATAAAGGCTTGTTATGTATAACCTGATTCTGTTGTCCATCTCAACAAGTTTAGAACAAATAAAAGAACATATATCAATGCAATGAATCATATTGGATTTAATAAAAATAATCACGGTGAAAACCAAATGTCAAAATTAAATGCTTATCATCGTAGATATTTCTGCATGCATCAATCTCAGTTAACACATCCAAGTATATATTCTTTAGTAAAGCACGAAACATATAGCTATTCATACAAAATACAAGTTATATTCATATATACTGGGCTGATAACCATGTCTAATCTGAACTTGAGTATGCGTATGAAGAAAGAAACAGAAACCTTGGAAGCGTAGGACCTGGCTTCTGAGAGAGCTCGAGCGAGAGCCATCACTGCATTACAAATTGATTACTTCAAGTTGAGAAAGCTAAACACAACGAGGAAAAAAACAAAAAATAAATGAACAAAAATAACCTTTCGAATCACTGTGAAGAAGCGGAGAGAGATGAGGTTCAAGTTGGAGAGAGAGACGCTCAATCTTCGATTGAAGGTTTGCAATTTCTGTTGCGTCTTTGGCGAATTCGTCCACTGACGAAGTGGATTCAGTATCGTACAGAAACTCACTCCCGCCGCCGTGCTTCACCTGAATTCTAACCATCTCGAACAAACTAGAATACCAGATTCTACTTCGCGCGAAAACTTTTTGCTTTACGGCCTTCTTCAGTTTCTGTCGTCTCAGTTTCAGTGTTTTATTCTCATCTCTTTTTAATTACCTAAAGTTAATTTTTTTTAAAAGAGATAATATCTAAAATAATCTAGATTATGTTATAATTTTATCCTTATCTCTACAATACTCTCACACCTTCAAGTAATTTCTCAACTATTCTCTCTACATCCTTGCAAGATTCTCTTCTTCGTTTTTTTTTTTGGTTCCACCTTGTTGCACCTAGATCCTCACTTTGTTCCACCTAGACCTTGGTTTCCCATTTCCAGACACCACTTGGTTCCTACCTGATTCCAAGTTCACCTAGTCCTTCCCGAACTTTGTTTTTCAACAAATTATTCTGACCCATGCTCGGGATGAGATTCGATCTTGAGACCTTCCAAGACCGTTTTTTCAACAGTATTCAGACCCATGCTTGGGATGAGAATCAATCTTAGGACCTTCCATTTAAAAGTCTATACCGGATACCAACCACAAGGGAGATGGTTTGCAAGGGCTGAATATGTGTTATGGTCACTTTTGGACCATCAGTTGTAAGACATTTTAATTCTTTTGCTTAATAAAGTTTTGTTTAAAAAAAAAAAAAAAAACTTTCATATTGTATTATTATATTATAAATATAATAACAAACTAATAATAAAATAACTAATACAAAATTTAAAATTTTAAAAATTTAAAAATGAAAAGTACATGGCGCGGGCAGCAAAAGCTGCCATTAGCAAACTTGTAAAAGCAGTAAATTTACTAACCACGGTGGATTTAAAACAAAAGAAATAATATTTTTTAAATTTTCACATCATCTTGAAAGTCCAAAATTAACTGGGTTAACGACAGTCTTAATGTAATTAAAGAATAATTAAAATAAGTAAAATTTTACACAATTGAAAGAGCATTTTTGATGAATTCTTTTCCCTTTTTTTGGGTTGAAAGATGTTACTTTACATAGTTTAAGAGAGCTCCTCCCCTTCAAACAGGAACTGAATAGTCTTTATATTATAAAATGCCAATACCAGTAATATATCAGGATCGATTGCCTACTGAATAGTCTTATTTTGCGAAATGCTGATGCCAGTAATATATACCAATAGAAAAAAGATGTTCAACTCTAAGGGATTTGCAATTTTTACACAATCCTCATTTCAAAGGTAGAATTGCATTCATGAGACCATGATTTCAAACAAAATATACATATTTTCCAAGTCTGTAACTTGACAGTAAATATTAGCTAATCTGACAATATGTTTCATTCCTGCCTCCTGGGTGCAGGTTCTCAAGGAAATCCTCTGAAATTAGAAGAGTTAACAGAAAGCAACAACTGATCATCTCCTCCATTCCACCAAACAGGAAGCCGCTAAACATGTTATGGGCTAATTGATCAGAAAAGCCGAGGAGGAGGGTGGATCCTTCATGTTTCCCTCTCTATTTTCGAGCATATAATATATAAAATATAAATGTGTAGCCTCACTAACAGTTAAGACTTTTAGTTGAGACAGAACACATTCTTAAATTCCTATGATTTTACTTCAATTGTTGCCAATAAGTCCCTCTTCATCTTGAGCTTCTCAGATCAGATGGCATAAATCCTGTCAATATCTGAGTTAGACAACTCAGAGGGAAGCCATGAGTTGGAGCCACTCCTTGCGTGCTTCTCTTTTTTCCTCGTCGACCTGATTCTCCTAGACCTCACAACATAATATGTCATGGTTCCAAGAACCCCGGCCATTATACTGCCACCTACAACCGTAACCAAGATAGCAGCCCACTCAAATTTGCGCCCAACCACTATATAAGACGAGGCCATGAATGCTACTGAAGTACACACAGAAGCCAGCCACATCAACTTGTTTATAATCTCTATCACTCTCCTTTCAGCCTTTGTCTCGCCTCTAACCAATGTAATCTGAACTACGACAACAGCAAGAGAGGTGAAAAGTGCAACGGCATTGAAGATGAAGAAAATTTGGAAAGAAGTGTAGGTCACAGCCACTGCCATCCCATTATCATGATCTCCACCAGGCACAGTAAAAATAGCTGCAAAGGCAACCGTTGCAAAAAGCACAGCAACCACAGTCACCGAGTTTGTGGCATTGTTGATCCCTTCCCGATGAAGTTTTCTGAGCTCTTTAGCAATTCCATGGACATTTTTGTTTGTCCGCTTAGTTTGTTCCAGCTGGATATGGATATCGTTCTTGATTTGAGTCACGGTGTTCCTTAACTCATCTCTTGGTTGGTTCAATTCATTGGCCCTAACGGCACCATAACGGCAAAGGCTCTCCTTTATCAATGTCGATTCTTCAGAAAGGGGAAAATCTTCAACAATGTCAAGAGCTGTTTTGTGATCTCTGGTCAGTGCATTGACATTCATGTCAGGCAGACGCAGTAACTCATTCACTATCTGCAAGTGGAAGTTCTCAAATGATTATTCATTTTATACCAGAAGTTTTTGTGACTATGTATCTCCAGTAAGATTTGGTAGTTTAGCATTTGAACAAAAAGCATACATTTGCTCCCTACCCAACCCTACCCACAACAAACAAAAAGAGAGAGAGAGAGAGAAAGAAGATAACAACAAGAATGCTATGCAAAGCATACCATCACACGCTTTTTCCTGGTGGCTACATGTAATGCTGTATTCCCATTCTTGTCTGGCAGCATAACAATTGCTGCATCAGCATTAAGAAGCAATTTTACCACCTCAACGTTAACCCCTTTCACAGCCATCTGCAATGCTGTCTGCCCTTTCTTGTCTGTCCTTCTTGCTAGTTGTGGATCTTTTTCAAGCAAGGCCTTGACAATTTCCACATGCCCTTGTCTGGCAGCTAAATGCAATGCATTCTTCCCATTGGATCTGGCAATTTCAACCAAGGTACAATCCTTTACAAGCAATTCATTGACCACAGCAATGTGTCCTCTTGATGCTGCCGTTATAAGGGGGGTAGCATTTGAAGGGCCAACTGTTTTACTTAGTTCAGGGTCATGGTCCAATAGCACTTGCACGATGGCTGCAATAAATGAGTGATTATAACACAGATAAAAATTAGGATAGTTGATTTATTAAAATAAGCTCTGGCAAAAGATACGTTTTGAAAAAAATAGGACAATGGAGAAACAGAATTTTGTTTAGAAAAAATAAAGGAATTAAATCATGAAGAAAGATCAAATCATTACCATGATGTCCTTGACTTGCAGCTATATGCAAAGGATCAAATAGTGATCGGTTCTTCTTAGTGAGAGTTTCCTTAGTTGAGTACTTCAACAATTCTTTTACCACTTCAAGATGCCCCTTATCAGCTGCTGTAAACAATGCTGTCTCCCCTAATTCATTCACCTCATTCACGACAGATTCCCTAATCTCTGCTACCTCTCTGTCAAATTCAGCTCCACTCAACATCCCAACCATTTGAGAATCAATATCATCAAGTATTTGCTTCACCGCTGCAAGATCACCTTTTTGAGCAGCCAAGTGAAGCTCCGTATCATTGTGCCTGCCCGTCACTTGTTTCACATATTTCTTTTTCCCTGCTTGATCAATTCGTTTACCAGAATTTGAAAGCACTAGAGCAGGTGCTGTTGCCGAGGATGGAGATGGGGTTGGTGATGGCTCAAATAAAGAATGTTGGCTGGTTGCTGGACTAATCAAGCCTTTCTCTAAGTCTATTTCACCTGTTGCATGTATCAGATTCTCTTTAATTAGTCGACACTCTAGAAAAAGCTAACTTTACATCAAAAGAAGTTCAAAAAACAAAATTTAAAGCTCCTCCCCCATATTTGACCTTTGGCTGTAGAATCATAAATGTGTTCTTCCATGTATCCACATACACTAAACTAATAACCAAATTATTAACAGCTGCTCCTTAATATTGATCAACAAACAGTGAATCATTGATCAGATGTATCAATCTGGATTTCGCAACTGATAAATATTGCCTTTTCTTTAAGCAAAAATCCCAATTTTTTTTCCTCTTTCTCTCCCCCCCAGCTCTCTATTCCTCCTTGGTTATTATAGTTTCACCTGGATAACAATTTCTTAAAATCCTGGAAATAGGATTCCCAGCTCACTAAATATGCTAAGACTTAAAGCATCCAAAGTTTCACCATAGTCATGAATCAAGTTATCAAGTAACCTAATTTCAAAACAAATTTGACTTTCTTTTCCACCTCAAAGTTTCTACTCTTTTCACATCTCTCAAACACTGGAGTTTACAGAGTCAGATCATCACAAAATTCATCTACAGCTTCGAGAATAATATACTCATAAAATAAAACGGAAACACTTGCTCTAGATGCTGATGAAACCAAGAACAATCACAGACCCATAGATATTTAAAAAAAAAAAAAAAAAAAAAACAAACAAACAAACAAACAAATTCTGTACCTTCTTGAACAGGCGAAGCCATGGCTGAGCTGAGAGGATACAGAAGGAAGCTTGATGGAGTTGAATTTTGAGTGTTCGATTGAGATTTAAGAAATAACAGAACAGAAAGTAAAAGCGTTAGGGAAATGAAAGAAGAAAGAAGAAGACAGAAAGGGGAAAGTGCTGTGAGAAGGATGTTTTGCAAGTGGCTCCTGAACACTGTTCTAAATCTCTGTTATTTGACGAATAAATGAATTGATTATTAATTATTTTTTAAAAAATAACTCGTTTTTTTCATATCAATAAATCGGGTGTATTCGATGATTACTTTTGTAAATTTTTAAAAACTACTAAAATGGTAATTTTAATAAATTTTTATTGATTTTTATAGAATTGTTCAAAACTTTTTAAAATTTTGTAAGATGTTATAAAAATTTATATAAAAAATATTTATAAATTTTTATCACTTTTTTTTAAAAAAAAAATCTACAAAAATAATTGAAATTTTAAATTGAATACGTGTTTACAAACTTTTAAAATGATTTTGATTTTTAACAAAGATGTCATTGACCTATAAGCTACTTGGCAACAATATGTATTAATAGTCAAAGACTATAATCCATATAGTGACAAACTCCATAAATCATAATAATAATTCCTTCCTTTAAGGTTGGGGTTCAACCTTTTTAGAAGAATAATCCCTTTAATGACAGAAAAATAAATATCTCCTCTATTTGTAACAGTAAACTTAGTTGGCGGCCACTCAACACATGAGACATTTGACAAATCAGATAGTTGATTTGATAACCATAACGTTTCAAATTTAAATGTTTGCGAGAGTTGTTTATTTGGTCTTATTGATTTGAGCAAGTCAGCGATAAGCAACCTAAATTGGTTTACCTCATTGTAATATTTTATCTGTAACCTTATTTTTCATAAATAAAATGGATGCTTTATTCAGTTGGATGAAGAATACAGGAATGGGATCGATTGATATTGAAACAAATTCTCAAATTCTGTTTAAATCTATTTCTAGCACTTCTTTTTATTCTGATTTTGACTTATTAGTGGATGATATTAAAGAATTGGCATCCATGATTAATGATGTCGAATTCAGTTTGTTAGGCGATCTGTGAATTGTGCCGTCCATAGAGTTGTTTGGGAGGCTTTTTCTGTGTCAAGTTGCGGGGAATGGTTTGATACTGTTCCAAATTTTCTTGTAAGCTGCCTTGCTGATGATATAATGAATTAAGTTGTTGCCTTCAAAAAAAAAGCATGGATGCTTTACTTATGCCTATAAATTGAAAAAACGTAATTATTAATTAAAAATGAAAAAAATGGTTTAATTTTACAATCGGAGGAAAATACGTTGAGAATAGGTAACAATTTGAATCTAAATAAATTAAATTTCAATGCAATTATTAGATATTGGAAGGTCCTGATAATTAAAAATAATTATTTCACATGAATAATATTTTCTTTTTAAAAAATAACCCCCCTCTCCCCCCCCCCCCAGAGAGTGATCATTGCCATCCCTCGAGTCGTAGTCGTAGAGACGTAGACTACATGTCTACATAGAATGGAATTTTTGTCCAAAGTGTACTTAATTTCATTTTTAATTTTGAGATTGTGGATTTCTTTTAATTTTTCAAATAAGGTCAAACACACAAAATTACAGATAACCAGAGCATCAGTTTGTAGTTTGTACAAATACAAATTTCCTTTAGAGTGGATTTGAAAACTAAGAATATGAATATTTTTTCAAAAAATACTTTCATTTTATAGTGTTTGACGAAAAGTTAAAAAAATTATATTTTGTATTGAGTTGAAAGTTAAAATTTTAATTTTTTTCTATTTAATTCAATTTTCAAAAACTAAACAAAAATCTATTACTACAAAGTTGTTTCTAATAAAATATTAATATCTGGACTTGATCAACTTCGTTGAGAGGTGAGGTAGGCAATGATAGAGAGTTTGAGTGAACCAACTCTGAGAAAAAGAACACCAACAGAAACAGGGGAAAGAACTAAAAATGTCTTTCAAATGAATCGTTTTTATTGATCAGAATTAATTTTTTTATTAACTTTATTTTCTTTATAACCAATCAGCAAATCATTCTATGAGATCCAAATATACACAATTTACATACTAAATGTTTACAATTTACCTTTTTAAAAATTCACAACTTGTTGACTTTGTATTGTATTCACAAATTCCCAAAATTTAAATACACAATGTATATTCTAGAAGTTCATAATTTCAATATTAAAAATACACAATTTAAGACCAAGATTCCCTGGTTCATGATATAACAACTGACCAAACATTAGAGAAAATCCGAAAAAGGGACCCTTAATTTAGCTATATTCTACTCACATTCCAATCAAATCACATGCTAATGTACTCGATATCATAATATATAATTTTATTTAAAGGTAGCTAAAGAATATACATGAGATTATAGTATCAGCAAACTTGGGACGAAAAACCGCCGTTGCACCGTTGATGAATACATTTAAAACAAAATCTTCTTATGGCGTCATAGAGATAAATAATCAAAATTGGCTATATTCATTAACAATCATACAACTCTATATCCATTAATAGAATACAATTTTACTTCCATTTGCTTACAATGATTTCTGCTCAGCTATATGCATTAAATTTGCATCTTCTTACATGTAAAGAAGAATTGAGCGCTTCTCCAAAACAAACAAAGATTTAACAGGAAGAGCTAAAACTAGTCAAAATGCCCATTACTGAATACAGCATTTTGAGGGTTCTTTTAATCATACAACAAGATTGCGGGTCAAAAAATCACTTACTGCAAGACTCGCGTCTCCATGCGCCACAGCATCTTCAGGTTCTGGCATGAAAAGGCTTGATGTGGATGCCTGCATTTTTTTTAAAGCAATTAACGAGAAGTGAAATCACCGAGGTATGATGCATAAGTGCCCAGAATAGAACATATTACCAAATGAGTGAGATATTTACAGAATTACAGTATAAATATGAAAAGAGATTCATAAATTTAGTATAGTATCTGGAATGCTGTCAAGTGTAATGCCAAGTCCATAATTAGTGTTTTCACGTGTTTTAATCTAGGTTAAACAAAGTCCTTCACAGATATTGCTAGGAGAAAATCTTGCACAGTTGCACTTGCACCTGTGCAATTGTCTGTAAGTGTTAACAGGAAAAGCAAACATACTTTGGTATCAAGTTGCATCTCTCCAGAATTATCCGAAGTAAGGCATGCACCGTGTGCCTTCAACCATTCTATACATTCCTCCACACCATCTCTCTCCGCATCACTGACTTCAGTTGTGGGCATGACAGAAGTGAACCCTAAAACCTGAGCAACATAGGGTATAGGAACTGTAGGACGATATGAACGAGACATACATCTTACAGCTGCATACCGCATCTTTTCAACATAAAGATCTGAAAAAGACCAGGTACATGTATCCTCAAGTTCAGAGATATATATATAATAATAATAATAATTACATTATAATGTAGATTACATGCGTTAGAAGCAAAAATTGTACCCATGAGACAGCTGTTGAGGTTGGGAGCTGTTCTGTATAGTTTGAAAAACAGCACATAGTTTTCAGAGGTCACTGCTGTACGAACTGAAAGAGCATGTTTAACAGCTGTGTTCTCCCTAGCTTCAGCTGATAATCTGAAAAACAAATGAAAAGTAGATGTGCCATCACAAAGAATAACAAGAAAGTTAGCTAGCCAAGCAGAGTTCACAGCATTAAATTAAATTAACCCCAATAAATTTCTAAACGAGTTCATTTCAGTTTTAGTCCCGCTATGGTAGCATTTCTACATTTAGTCCTACCCTTTAATTTGACCACATAGCATCCTTGACTTCAGTTTTTCTTTTTGGTCCTAGGACTAAATCTGGCTTCAAAATTAAAAGGGTAGGATATAGATATGTCAAATTGTACCCTTCCCCAGGTTCCCCCAAAAAGTAACTTCCAAAAACAAAAGAATAAGGTAAATTACAGTAATAATCTATAGAAGCTTCTTTCCTAGTGCTTTTCACACAGTTGAAAGCTCTCATGTAGATAAAGATTCAATCATGATAGATTTAGAGGGAAAGAATCTAGACATGTAGCTTCAGATGCTCCCTAAAATATATTATTCCGTATTTAAAGGGGAAGATCTAAACATGTAACTACAGATGCTTCCTACAATGTTTTTAAATTTCAAATAGATGAGAAAATATGATGTACTTTGTTCAAATCAAAGAACTAATTACCGGTATGACCTAAAAAGAGGAATTGTACAGTTCGTACTACTACTTAGGTGTGAGTCCTCAATAGGGAATAGACAGAGTATGTTTACAAACAGGCCATCCATATGCAAGGTTCTGTGCCTTCTATCTTATGCTGCCAATTCAGTTTCCTCTCAAAAGTTGAAGGCAGGAATGAAGCACAATAAAAAGGACGCATTTAGTAATTCAATAAAGCTTGCCAAAAAGGGATAGGTGGGCCACAAGAATTATTTAACAGAAAGAGAAGGACAAGGAGATTGGAGAAAAAAATAATAGCATGTGAGTAAATCAACTCCAAATAAATGGAAACTCTGAATGATAGAAAACAGCCAGCTGGAAAACTGTAGCAGCTATTCAAAGGATACCTAATGCTGGCAACCACTGAATTAATGATATACGGAGTAGTATTTATAATCATGATAAAATAAAATACAATACAAGGCAACAACAATTGGATCACTGACCTTGACATTGTCGATAGGAGATCTCTCTTGTTGTGGGAGTGCAGAAGTGCACAAAGTAAATTATATGCTGCAAGTTCCATATGACATCCATTGATTCCTTCTGCATAAAGTGTTTTCAGTTGTGACTGGCACTGCATAAGCCAAGGTTAAGAGTAGATCAAATATCTAGCAAAATGGAAAATAAGGTTATAGATAATATGCAGGTGAAACAATTAAGAGAAAGCAATTTCTTCAATAATGATATCTTCTGATCTTCATGCAATCATGCATAGATAATCTTCTGCAAGCTCTCAGGCAAAATAATCCAAACCTTTACACCATATGACAATTCTAGCTAAACATTTTGAAGTTGGAAATTTAGTATCAAAATTTGAAACGCTGAATGCAATTCTAGCTAATTTTTTTAACTTGACTTAAAGAAATTAAATTCAACTTGAATTGGCTAATATGTTTACCATACATAATAA